ATATATATATATATAAAACAGTGTATATAATTTTTAGTAGCCACATAAAAAAAGTGAAAATGAAGCAGGTAAAATTCATTTTAATAATATATTTTATTTAACCCAATATAGCAAAACTATTTTCATTTCATTGTCATTGCTATTTTTTGTCCTAAGTCTTTGAAACCTCATGTGTATTTGGCATTTACAGCACACGTGAGTCTGGACTCGCTGCGTTTCATGTGCTCCGTGGTCTCACATGGCCAGTGGCTACTGTATTAGAGCAGTTTTAGGAGTTAAATCAGAAGCCTTTTCTTTGATAAGATTTATAGCTGTTTTGACGATTCATGTTTTATTTGTTGAAACTTTGTAAGACTTTTATTTTCCCATTTTAAATCCAAACCCTCGTCCACAGGTTGGCCACCCCACAGAACACTCCGTGGTCACCGGAACAAAGTCACATGCTTGCTGTATCCTCATCAGGTCTCAGCTCGTTATGATCAAAGATACCTGGTGTCTGGAGGTGTGGATTTTTCCGTCATAATTTGGGACATATTTTCTGGAGAAATGAAACATATCTTCTGTGTGCATGGTGGCGAGGTTACTCAACTCCTAGTTCCACCTGAAAACTGTAGTGTAAGTTGATCAAAAACGATTATTTTACTGTGGTAGAGCCGTCATGTTACTGTCAGCCTTAATGTAACTCGATCCTAGGGTCACTTAAAGGACACGTGACAAGAGAATTGACAAAACCTGTTCCATTTTAAAACTAAATAATGGTAACATGTAAACTTTAGGCAAAATTATGATTATTTACTATCATTGCATAGAAATAGAAGCTGCACTTAGTGTTTTCAGAAATTAAAAAATAACCCTAGTAACCAGATGGTATAGCTCTAACTGTGGAATTGTACTGATATCTTTGCACGGAGCTCTCCGTGGTTCCTCAGTTGATTTGTGCCACAGGTGGCTGCATTTAAAGTACGGCCTGGGACATGGAATGTTTGTGTGTGTGATACAGTATGATACCATTTATTTACATTTTAAAAACAAACAAATCCATTCATTGTATTTCTGGATACATGTATAGAATGGAAAAATAAGGACCAAAATCAGATTTGGGTTTGCTTTTGGGAGTAAGAAGAATGGGTTTCTGGGGGGAGTGGGGGGGCGGTGTGGGGGTGACTTCTTTAAGTGCCATGTTTTATTTACTTTTAGCAAACATATTTGATATTTTTTTCTCTCATTGGCATGGATAAGCATATTATCAGAGCTTTTTGCTGCTATTAGAACTTTATTTAGAACAGAATTTTTGGAAAATATTTCAAAATAAGTTATTTAGTACAATTAATATATATGTTTCTCTGTATGAGCATATAGGGTAAGTTCCTTAATAGATTAGTTTTAAAAATGATTTTTTTTCATTTATATAGCATCTCTTTAAGGTCACATAATCTCCCAAACTATCCAGAAGGGGGCAGCATGGGCTTGTGAAACGAGTGCTGAGTATCTAACCTGAATATTAGAGTTGGTGCCTTCATTTTACGGTATTGGATCCTTGGCTCTTACAGACAGAGATATGATAATATGAATATTATATGTGATTCTATGCATGAGTGTGGCTAACTTTCACAGCTGGTAAGAGCAGTTAACAAATGAGATTTTTCTTTTTTCATCCTGAAAAAATACCTAAAGCTTTTGCCTGAATTAGCTCTTATCTTACTTTACAATTTGGTTCTTTAATTATTTTAATTTGAATATTGCATTTAAAAAACAGTGTCTATAATTATAGCATAGTCCCTGAAGCCAAGCAGAGTAAACTTTGGAAATGTAAATTAACCAAACGCAAGAAGCATACCTATCATTAATTTTCTACAATATATCGCAATAGATGCAACATTCCCCTCAATACTTAATGCTCTTAGATTTTGAGATCAGATGTTTTTATGCATTCAGTACTATCTTTTTCAAATTAATTTTTATTTGTTTTAAATTAAATAATACATTGTTATGTAAAATACAGATACTTTCTAAATATGGTCTGGTCTTCTTTCTGTGTCACTAAGTATATTTCAGTATGATTTTTTAAAAAATATATTTTTATTGATTTCAGAGAGAAAGGAAGGGAGAGGGAGAGATAGAAACAGTGATGAGAGTCATTGATCGGCTGCCTCCTACATGCGCCC